GCTGATAAACTGCATTAATTACTATTATGTCATTATTATTGTTTGTTTGTTTTTCTTAAATTCGCTGCAATTTCACAATTTTAAAAAGTAATCCAAAATAATTGCTCATCAATTCCGTATTCTTCTTCTCCTTTTCAGCTTTTTTAATTGATCATGCTTCCAATGGTGATGACAATGTTAACAAGCGCAACGTGAATCCATCATCCTCCTCCTCCTCATCATCATCATCATCTGTGGCAAGTGATCCGAATCATTCCAAGTCATTGAAAAAAGTTCCTGTAACAATCTCTACATCTGTACATGTGAAAATTGCTTCACGTATCTATGCAACACCAATAAAATTGCCCTTGTCAAAATATATTACAATTTCTCCAGAATTATTTCAAACTTTACTAGAATTAGATTATTGTGCAGCTCGATTTGAATTTGAATTTGTACGATGTGTTTCACGTCGTATTAGAACATTAAAAGAAGCTGATGATGTTCAAGTAGGTAAAATAAAAATAAAAACTATTGTAATATATATGCAAGTCCATTTTGGACCTTATTTTAATTTTTATTTCATAAAATTACTAATGAAGTTGAGATAAGTTCAAAATGTGATTTTTCGAATAATGACCGAATATAGTGCACTCGACAACAACAACAACAACATCATGAGATTCTTAAATCTAAACTGAATATATAAATCCAGCAGCCCTAGAACATACATACATATTGTATAAAAGAAAAAATAATTTGTGTTTACTGGTTGATAATACTTACTAACCAACTGCTAGAAAAAGACAAAATTTAAATATTGAACTATGTATGACCTTATACTTTAAAATGAAATGTCTCATAATGATTTGGTCTATTTCCCTTAAATCTTTAGTAAAAGGCGAAAGATTTAATACGCAAATGAGGAGATACTAAAATTATTGATGATGAAGTATTGAAACTTCATCAGTTGATGTGGTTGGGACGTGTGTTACGAATGCCCAACCACCGACTGCCTCGACGAGCTATGTTTTGTGGTGTAGGATTAGGTTAGGTGAAAGCTAGGCGCGGCCAAACTTAAAACATGGCACAAATCCATGAAGTCACTGACAAGTGGACTGAGTCATGTTGGTAGATGTAGACTTCCTGGTTTGGATCCACGAGATGATAGTAATTGGTGGTTACAGACCCTGAATGACATGGCTGAAAATCTTTTGCAATGGCGCAGGTGCATCCACTCTTTGTGTTCTCTCAAATCCTAATCTTCTGGATTCGTCAACACCTCTACCTTTATCTTTCTAAACTTTTCTGACTGAATTATACTTCTTGAATATTATCTTCAAATCCTAATCGTCTCCATTAGCAGTAATTCTTCTACTATCTCTACCACTATGGGATTTGAATTGATAATTGCGTCTTTGTGTTAATGTGTTATGGTAACCTGAACTGACGTACTTACGTACGAAGTTTTACGTTGTAACTGACTGACTGACTGACTTTTTCCCTAAATAACTACAACGACAATCTACCATTTGTGATCGTTGTACATCTATCGTTTGCTAAATAGTTCATTAATATTAATTTCTAATTTTTATTAAATGTGGGTAATATTCTATTAATCGAGAATCGTATTTTAACATTTCAATGCTTGTCTTATTCTATCAACCTGGAGTACGTTAACTCAGAAAGTCATGCACTAATTGACAGTTTGAATTAGATTCATTTAGTGTCTCATCGGACAAATGATATTACCATTTCTAACTGCTCAATACAATAATGACTTTGACGTTGAATAATACTCTTCAATCAAATTTGCATTATTTACCCAACAACTTTTGATCTGTACCCCTTAACTTCTAAGAATACAAAAGAAACTGACAGGTTTATTCCCACCTCAACACTGACAATGGTACATGTGAAAAAAAACAAACACGAATGTTGATGAAACGTTTGCAAATGTTCTTTGAAGATCTAGCCAGTCAAAACTTGAACTTCATATGACCTAATCCAACTGTAACTGTGCGGTCTAAAAAAATCAGAGTGAAGATTGTTTAAAAATTTACTTTTTGAAAATAATACATCTCTTAACCAAAGCTGTCAGTCAGTCGGTCAGTCAGATGCAATGTAGAACTTCGTACGTAAGTACATCAGTTCATGTCGCCATACCACATCAGCACAGAGATGTAATTGTCAATTCAAATCCAATAGTAGAAGAGGTAGTAAAGGTATTAGAAGTAATCGGAGAAGATAGGATTAGAAAATATTATTTAAGAAAGTATGATTCAGTGAGTAAAATCTAGAAAGTAAAAACTAGAGGGGTTGAAGAATCCAGAAGATTAGGATTTGAGAGAACACAAAGAATAAATGCACCGGCGCCATTGCAAACGATTTTGAGCCATGTCATTCAAGGTCTCTAACCATCGATTATTATCATCTCGCTGACCCCAACCAGGTAGTCGACAACTACCGACATGGCTAAGTCCACTCGTCAATGACTTCATGGATTTCTGCCATGTTTTGGTTTGGCCTAACCAAAGCTGTAATGCTGATAATATTGATGCAGTAAGTAAATTAGGTCTCCCTTTTGAACAGCCTTCATCCCGCCCTGGGCAAGTAAACGATCTTGTTAAATGAATTACTGGAAAGCATACTTCGCACTACTTAAATCAAAGGTCGTTTAAAAATAGTCAGCTTTTTTAATTAATACAATGATGATGATGATGATGGGCGATACTCAGAATTCGAATGAATTATTCATGTTAAGATGATCATAATAAAATTTAAAACTGTATAATTTTTTTTATTGACCTTTATTGAAAGTCATTCCGATTTATTCCGTTAGATTACGACTTTGAGTTTATGAAATAGTCACGTTTTGTTTTTGTTGAAATATTTTTTTTGATACATAGTTTATTCTCATTACAGGGGTTGTGAAGATTGGTAAGCTACACATTTTTGAAACCATGAATCAATCAATGTTAGACCACCATTAGAAACCTGGAAGCACTGACAGACGGCCATCAAGTCCTGGTATGGGACTCCTCAGCAGTGCCCATCCATGACTCCTGCATCCCGCAGGATTCGAACCCAGGACCTGCGGTATTGTGCGCGAACGCCCTAACCGTTAGACCACTGAGCCGGTATCTAATAGTGTTAATGTCTAACTTGATCAATCTTGACCAATCTCCACAACCCCTGTAATTAAAATTACCTGTGCTCACTAGTGACTAGCTTCGTGAGGAATCTTCTCCAAGTTCTAGTGGGAAGACGTGACCAGTGAAGTTCAACCTGTTCAGGTGTAGGCAGTGTCTACCGAAGACTGTGTATGAGGTTGCGCAACTCCGTGAATCGATCAAGTCAGACATTAACAGCGTTAGATACCGGCTCAGTGGTCAAAGGGTAAGGGCGTTCGCGCACAATACCGGAGGTCCTGGGTTCGAATCCTGTGGAGTGTATGAGTCATGGATGCGCACTGCCACCGGAGTCCCATGCCAGGACTTGATGGCCGTCTGTCAGTGCTTCCAGGTTTCTAATGGTGGTCTAACATTGATCGATTCATGGTTTCAAAATTGTGTAACATAGTTTATTTATCAATGACTGAATTGAATTAAATAAATTCGACCTAAGGTCAACAATCATAAATAATCCATTTTACTGTTACGTTGTTAGTTTTGAAAATTCATGTGATTTTAATGTCTATGATATGGATTATATGTGATGAATAGATTTGAATAAATTTTGATTAGTTAATCATTTTTTTCAAAGATGTCGTCTATAGAAAATAATGATCAATGTCAGTGTTTATGTTGCATGGATTTATTTTGAAGATGTTTTTCACAAAGAAAAAACTAAACATGAGTTTATCCCCACCTCAACACTGACAATGGTACGTACATGTGCAAAAACAACATGAACGTTGATGAAACGTTTCTGAATGTTTTTTGAAGAGCTAGCCAGTTAAAATTTGAACTTCATATGACTTAATCCAACTGTAACTGTGTGGTCTAAAAAAAAAATCACAATGAAGATTTTTTAAAAATTTACTCTTAATAAAAACCGTAATGGTGATAATATTGATGCAGTAAATTAGGTAATTGTTATCCTAAAATATCTTGACTATTTGTGAAAAAGCATCCACTAATTATTATGATTTACTTTCATGCTATAAACTATGAAGAGGATATCTATCCTTCCTTAAGTTTCCACCGTGAGAAATCCAAACCAACTAGTCGATTATGCCAAATTACATTCCTGAACTTCAAAAAAAAAATAACGATATTTGTTTATGAAAGATATTTTACTAGTATTGTAGTGAATGAGAACACAGGTGGGGCAACCGAATTGTATTTAACGAAAATTACAGAGTTACTCAGTAAAATCGGAAAACCATATCGTAAATCGTTAATTTGCAAAATATCAGTTCATCATATCGAACTGGACTGTTGCTGTTGCAAAACATCAATCCATTGTCACTCACTATTCATGCGTTTCATACAAATTCCATTGTGTTCCCACTCTTCCTTTCTTGATCTTCCCCCATCTTCTGCTGCCAGACATTACGTTGACGCTCACATCATATACTACTTATAAGTAGCTCGCACCACAGCACCACACTATAACGATCACAATTACAAAGTATCCTTTTTTTGTCTAGAACAGAAGTATTTCTACTGATTTACACTCAGACTGATATCACGGCTAGATAAAAATTGATCCATATTAACATAACCCCCCTTTCAAGCACCACCTAATATTCACTTAGCCGTTTAGATAGATAAATTTTTCTAATACTTTTGGTAGATCACAAAAAAAACGTTGAATAAACGCGTAGACTCTTACTGTTCTTTCAAAAATACTTTGCAACCAACATACAACAATTCATGCCATATTCATGAACATCAGTAGTCAACTTGATGATATACGATTTGGACAGCTTGTGTGTCATCCCAAAACTCGGTATACTCATCAAGTCAGCAAAAAAAATATAATCATAAGTTTATAGAATGTTCTGTAAATGAGATAACAGTATATGACTGTCAAGTACACATGGAAGAAGGTGATGTTAACAAACAATTCAAGTTAAAAATATTTATAAACAACTGGCTAAAATATTCAAAGCTTTTTACAATTAATTTGATTTATGAAACTGAACTGCGCAGCAGTTCGCTCTGTCCTACCATACGGATGCGAAACATGGCCGTTAAGAGTAGATATTCCTAGGTTACTAGTATTCGATCATAGATGTCTGAGAAGCATTACTCGTGTATCCTGGGACGACCGAGTAAGCAATGCTATCGTTAGGAAAGGATGGCAAATCAATAGATGAAGTATTAGAGCTTCATCAGTTGAGATGGTTGGGACATGTGTTACGAATGCCTAACCACCGACTGCCGCGACAAGCTATGTTTTGTGGTGTAGGAGTAGGTTTGAAGAAAGCTTGGGGCGGCCAGACCAAAACATGGCAGAAATGCATGAAGCCACTGACAAGTGGACTGAGTCATGTTGGTAG